TAGTGGACTTATTGGGAAAGAGAGGGAGAGAGGGAGGGAGAAAGAATGCGAATATGAATATATATGAGAATATGAATGAATGGGATGAACTAAAGAGATGCTGCTCTCCTAATCCACTGGTTCACTACCCAAATACCTTCAGTGGCTCAGGCTGGACTGGAAGCTGAGAGCCTCTCAATCCAGGTTTCCCACATGGGTGGCAAGGACCAACTACTTAAACAATCACTTACTACCTCACAAGTTCTGCCATAGCAGGAAGCTTGAGTCAGGAGCCATAGCCAATAATCAATTCCAGATACTCTGGTATGGGACATACAACTGGTATGGGACACTGGTATGGGACACTGCTAGGGCAGACACACACCCTGATTCTCATTTTTAATGATCATAGACTTGGGGCTGCTGTTGTGACAGAGTGAGTAAAGTTGCTGCATGTGATGCTGGCATCCCATATGGGTGCTGGTTTAACTCCTGGATGTTCCATTTCCAATCCAGCTCCCTGATAATGTGCCTGGAAAGGCAATGGAAGATGGCCCAGGTCCTTGGGCCCTGGGAGACCTGAAGGAAGCTCTTGGCTCCTGGCTTTGGCCTAGCTCAGCCCAGCCATTGCAGCCATTTGGGTAGTGAACCAGTGGATGGAAGATCTCTTTATCTTTCCCTCTTTCTGTCTTGGTAACTATCTTTCAAATATATAAAGTGAATGTTTAAAACAAAATTATTATAGGATCATTTGCCCATTCTGGTATTAGTTGCAATAGTATTTTTGCTATCATCTCAAATTAAAGATTAGGGTATGGAAATGTGAGCTACAGTTTTCATTTTGAAGAAAAATCAAAAGAAAATACATTCCTTGCTCCTTATATATATTTGTTTCTCTAAGCATCACTAGAATTTTTACAGTAAAATTTTAATAACCTGCAAAAATCTTTTATTTTCTATAAATATATTTTTAAAGGAATGAAATACATATTTACATGTTTTAAACAAAACTCATGATAATAAATTGTAAATACTACTGGCATTAACTAATGTTTCAAGTTCTTATTCATGGTTTTACACATTAAATGTCATGGGGCTTTGCAATGGGGCTCCTAATTTTATTTCAGACTCTCAATAGAAGTGATTGTTTATTAGGTTTGTAGCTCTGTTTGAAGACCACTTTCTGTATTAGCTCATTTAATCTTTAACACAAAATTTTTAAGTAGGTACTAATACTATCCCCGTTTAATAGTAAGGAAGCTGAGACCCAACACTTAAACAAGATGCAGAAGATCATAGAGCAATGGGGCTGTAAATATTGCTCCTGCAAAGTGGCATGTGCCACATTGGAGAATCCAGGAAAAAAGAGGCCTCCCAGTGGACATTCCAGGAAGTGCCACTCCTCCTTGTGGTGGAGAGTGGGGCTTAGTCCCCGCTACTATTCCAGTCCTGCTGTTTTCCTGAGTGCCTTCCTCCCAGAACCCAGCCCACTCAATGCGAAAATCACGCTTCCCAGTCTCTGCAAACATGTTCTAAGGGCAAGGCTTCATAGTTGCACCTGTGCATGGTTGGGCAGGCAGCTGTGAAATGTGGGATGATCTTGTTCTCTGCCTGTAGCTGCTACAAGCATAGCCTTGAGAAATTGAGCTTCTCCACATCAGTGCCTGCATGACCACTCTCTTGGTTTTTGGGCATCAGCAGGCAGCGGTGTGTGGTATGGCAGTAGCCAGTTCCGCTTGCCCATGGCTGCTCACAGTCTTGGTGGGTGGAGGGCAGTTGTTACAGCCTTCTCTCTGGATTGCAGCTACTGAACTGAGTTCCTATACCCACAGGCCCCAGGGTGGCCTTTCTGAGTGAGACAAAGGACCAGGCTGTGTTGGGAGCTGAGTAGGTGGTGTATTTATTTGAAAGGCAGGGTTAGAGAGAGATTTTCCCTATGCTAGTTCACTCTCCAAATGGTTGCAACAGCCAGAGCTGGACCCATCCAAAACCAGGAGCTTCTTCCAGGTCTCCCACATGGGTGGAGGGGCCCAAGCACTTGGGCCGTCTTCCACTGCCTTCCCAGGAACGTTAGCAGGGAGTTGGATGAGAAGCAGAGCAGCCAGCACTGCTTTACATGCTATGCCCCAGCGCTGGCCCCGGCAGTATATTCTGAGGTCTTTTTGTAGAAACCCTGCGTAGAGTCCACTTCTCCAGTACTGAATTCCCTGCATTAAATTCCTTTCTTTATGATATATATAAAGTGACCATTTTATTTTGCATCTGACCCTGCCAATACGCTTGGATTCCTAAAGCCAAAGCTAAGAACTTTTCTAACAATTAGTGATAAATGCCTTTGGGAAAAGGGTTGACCTCTTTGCACAGATGGTCTGGACAAAAACACAGACTCTTCTGTTTTCTTGTGTGATGTGGCTGTTTAGTGTTAGTGTGAGGGCAGGGGCATAATAGTGCCAATTGCCAATCCCTTACATTATGTTGTGTGTAAATACGTATAGCAAAATGGACCTCTTTAAAATGTGTTATTTTGCCATTCTCATCAGCCTTTTCTGATTCTTCCTAACAGTGTACCCTCTTTGTATTCTTATTTGTACTCTTGTGGTTCATTGATATTTAACCCATTCTTCCACTTATTCTAATGGAATTACTTGATTTTTAAAAAATAAATGCTTGTGTATTTAAACAGAAACGAGAACAGAGACCATGTCTTGTTCACCTGGTTTTAGCGCAATGCCTGCAATGGAGTGAAGTACTCAATACACATTATTTAAAGCATGAATGAACATCCTCCTTCTGTGTGTTACTACATTTGAATGCCTGACCATGACTATTACAGTGACTATTTCAGTGATCAGAGTAGATCAGTTCAGGTAAATACCACCCCTTGCAGAATTTCCATAATGAGGCAAATTTCTACCTGGGTCTGAGACTCATTATGTCTATATTGAAGACCCAGGGAGCTAGAAAAATATTATGCCTTTTTGCAGAAATGAAGCAATTACTGTAAAAGATGTATTATGCAATCATCTTAGTAACCCAAATAGGGCTGTGAGCGCACACTGTGAATACAAAGACAGGCAAATTTTGCAAACAAGCGAATTTCCCAAGAATACAAACAGTTCTTGCTGTTAACGAGGCAGCAGTCATGTTGCTTTGCAAAGAAGGGGCAACCACAAAGGTGCACTCAACAAAGCAGGTTACAAGACATCTCCTGTGATCTCATTTAATCCTCGCCTGTAAGGTTAAAGGTGTTACTCTCCCACAATTTGTGGACAAGGAACCCCAGGCTGTTGGAAAATGGCACAATAGGCCTCAAGAGTTAGGTCCTTTGGCTTCAACCTCTGCCCTCTGGGCGCCTTACTGCCACCTGTTTTATATCTAGGTAGATGGCAGATGTGAACCACAGAGCTTTCTTAGAGCTAAAAGAGCAAGCATGGCTTTTCTCCCTCACTGTGGGATCTGGGCCTGCCCTTGGGAACCCTTGTTAGGTCGTCCTTGCAGCCTTTGTGGTGGCCTTGGACTCTCAAAACATGGTTTTCCTCACATCTCCTATCCATCTGCTTTGGGAGGTTACTTCCTGGCAAAGTAGCACTGGAAGGGGCTCCCATATAAGATCAAGGTCAAATTCACATCCCTGCCTTCATCTGCACTCAAAGCCCGGATCTGCAACCAAGGAGGTGACAGTCAGCTTCTGGAATCTGTCGCCTCCAATAATCTTTTATTCCTCTCTGGGAAAGGCCTTTGAAAGAGCCTCAGTAGGTTGCCTTGTAACACACAGAGGACAGCAGGGGGCGAAAGTGCACTCACCCCTGAGCTCCTCTCGGTGCCTCCAGGCAGCTGTCTGCCCACCCTCCACCCTCCACCCTCCACCCTCTACCCTCTACATCCACCTGCATTCCCCACCCACACAGCTCTTCTCATCCGTCAGTCCACCCCTGACCTCTCCGTTGGTCTCTTTCCTTTCACACTTGGTGTCACTATTCTTTTCCTTCCTCTCTCTCATCACCAGATATACATTTATTTGCTTGATGCTTAAATATGACTTCTCAACTATTTGTTTTCTTTAAAAAGAGGTTTATTTATGAAATGCAAAGAGATAGAAAGGGATGGAGGGTGGAGAGAGAGACAGATGCCCATCCTCTGGTTCATTCCCCACATGTTTACAACAGCTAGGGTGAGGCCAGACTAAGTCAGGAGCCAGGAATTCCATCCATCCATGTCTCCCATGTGGGTGGTAGAGGCCCAAGTACTTGCGCCATCATATGCTATCTTCTCAGGTATATTAATAGGAAGCTGGCACTGAAACCAGGCACTCAGTTATGGGATGCTGGCATTGCAAGCTGCGCCACAGCACCTGACTTTTTTTCAACCATTTCTAAGCTCTAATTCAAAAGAAACCTTATAAATTTTTCTCAACACCATGTTTCTGCAGATGCTTTTGCCCAACCAGCTTCTGCATATGGTTGGATTTCAGCTGCTGAATGAACAAATGAACACATGAGTGCATGAAGGGAGGGACGGATGAATCATAGGTATAGGGTGTTTCTGGTGCCCAGGCTGGACAAGACATGCTGTGGAGTGCAGTACATGAGAACTGGGCCTCAGAGCAAAAGCATGATTGGAAATACTTTCATGTCTCCTCCTCAGTCTCAAGTAGGGATCAGCTCATGGGAGCCATAAGGAGGAAGATTTTCACATCACAATTTCATCCATAGAAGAGCTACTCAAAAGTGAAATGAACTGCTATTGCAGTAATTATTTCTCTGTTTCTGGAAGCATTCAAGAACCAGCTAGATGATCATTTGCCAGGAGCGCTGTGGGGGAGGAGGAGATCACTGTATTTGGAAAGGGTTGGTCCTGATGGTGTCTTTAGTGTATTCCTGCCCTCTCATTCCTTGATGCCAGGTACTTTTTCTTCTGTTGAAATCAAAATGTCATTCACATCCTTTGCATTTTTTTTTCTTCCTGTAAATATGCTGTTGACTGATGTTTCTCTACTCTGCTTTCTTCCAATGATAATATAGATGAGGTCTTGTCTGAAAACTTCCTGGACTATAAGAACCGTGGAGTCAATGGTTCTCATCGGGGCCAGATCATCTGGAAGATTGATGCCAGCTCTTACTTTGTGGAACGTGAGTACTTAAACCATTATTGTTCAACAGATATGGATGAAACAGAATTCAATTGCTTTGTTCTTTGTTCTGTTGCTTTTCCCCTACTTAGAAGTGTGTCATGTGAAAGATATGTAGATACATGTTCTTGAACCTGATTTGGGAGTAAATACAGCTTTAGCAAATGGTATATACTACAGATCTCTTACATTTCAGTTAGAACAAAAAGGATAAAAATATCATTAGCAATGATTGTTAGACACAATTATTGCATACACTAATTTACCTTGCAAGTTTAGTAAAAGAGTTTTTATTACTTAGTACACATTCATTTTCTTCTTAGGGTTCCAATAATTGAGAAATAGACCACAATGTAGGGTCAACATACAGGAGCAGCTCTCAGTGCTGTGAGAACAAACACAACTGGCAAGCTTTTGTCTTTATAAAGTCATTAAGGGATGACTTAGTGAATCATTAGGGAATGATTGAAGTTGCCAAGGTATTAAGTATAAAGGAAAAGGAAGTTGGTGAGTGAGAATTTCAATATGCCTAACTCAAAGTCAAGGGCCCATGATCAAATTCTATGTAGCGATCTCCCCTCCACACTTTCATAGTATGAGATATCCTGATTTTTTTCCTCATTTGCATGAATCAACACAAAAGAAGTGGGATTTGTGTTATAACCCAGCAATAGTGCCATTCCCTCCAAGGCCATTTGTAAAAAGAGTTCTTTGGTATACAACACATTTCCTGTATATTTATCTCAAGGAACACACCATTTCATATAATTATCTTCATTCTTAGTATGGATACACACCTTAAATATTATTAGAGAGGCATTAACATGAAAAACTAGCTCATTAAAATATATATTCTCATAATTAAGTGAAAGCATATTCAAACGTGGTCAAGAAGCAGTATTGTATTAAAAAAATTGCTTACAAAAGGCATATTGAAAATAACTGACAGCTAAACACTTCAGAAAAATGACATTTTTAAATATTCTTGTGCAAAGTTGAGAAGATTCCAACCCTCAATATACCTGTTAGATTAATAGCATCTTAGTATTTTTGGAAAAATAGATGAAAGTAAAATGGAAATGGTAGGTATTTATATTTTGAAAATATATCAAATATGTTAAGAATATATTATTCTATACTAATATAATTTTCCAAAAGTAAAAATTTATCAAAACAACACAATTGAGTTTACAAATGATTAGAATCTTAACTGAGGTCACGCATATAAATCAAATTAATCAAAGCATTATAAAGAATTAAAGAGTCAGAATGCATTAAAATTATATTATGCTATATAAATTTATATTTTAATATGCAATAATTTACATTTTCAAAAATGTATGATTGGAAAAGTGTGACATTAACACATAGGATGGATGTCAAATGCTCTGATGTGTGCTGTCCTTAGTTAATACATCAAAGCATCAAAGGCCTCTCACTGTAATGAAACTGCAGAATCCAGGCCATTATCCAGAGGTTAACAGAAGTTTTTGTGATGTACCCAGAATAAGACTCTTTGTATTTCTCAGTAGTGAGTAATAAACATATCATTGTAATGGGTAAATTATAGTCTTTAAAATTAAAAATGATTTTTCCAGCATCAAACATTGGCCAGATTTTAAATACTAATTATTCTTTCTACCTGAGGATTAAATTAAAATAACAAAAATAAAATAAAATTTTCCTTTTATTTTTGTTTTTCATTTTTCTCTTTATATTTTTCTCTGATTATTTCTTCTCATGAGAGTGGACCTATATTGTGGATGACCTGGAGTCTATTATATTCTAAGAGCACATTTCTTTGGATTATGATTCAATTTAGAAATGGATAATTGCTATTGATTTACACAATGTCTTAAATTATCTGACTAAATAAGATTTTGAAAGTACTTCCAAATTAGGAATATTTTAAAGAAATATTTTTTGCACTCTCCAAGGGGTTGCATACATAATAAATACCAAATAAAATTTATGGAAAATACCAAAAAAATTATGGAAAATATGCATTTTCTTTTAATTCTATTTTTCTACAAGCTTTATGAACTCCCCTCATGGAGTGTGAATCATTTGCTATGTTTTGGCATAGTTTTTCCCTACTGGACAACTTGCTATTTGACCATAGTATTGCTATAAGATGAGAATTAAAAAGATGCAGATTTTTACAGTGACAGAAGAAAGAAGGGATGAAGCTTTAACTTTGCTCATTCTGACAGAATCTTACAGTGGTGTGCACAGGCCTTCCACAAACTGGAACCACTGGAGCAGGGCAGGGGTGCGAGATGATAGGTGGCCGGAGGAGGGTCCTGAGTGCTCACTGCCATTGGATCCAAGGGGTCTCCATGGGCACCCCTGTGCATCAGGGCTCTCCCCCACCTGCTGCCTCCCTGTGCCCCAGGCAGTTCACAGCACCCTGAGGATCTGGGGCATTTGAGTCCTGAAATTGTGGAACCAGGCTGGAGTTTCTGCTGATTCTGGCAATTGCAAGAAAGGGAATGAAATGAGAAGTGAATTTGGGAGCAGGAGCAATTTTCAAACTTGCACCCACTGAGAGAAGGAGGGGGTAGCCCTGCCTGTCTTGGCTATCACCTGTTGACCTGCCATGGGTGGACTTCCCTTTCATGACAATGCTGAGCTGTTTGCAGAAGCCCTAGGAGTGGATAATGATCACAAAATGCCAGGCATTCCTGAGGACCCAGACAAGGGCTGAAGTCACAGCACAAGTCTCAGCCACCCCCCAACCTGTAGCCAGCACAGGCCACCGGTGCTGGGAAGTGGAAAGTAGGGGACCTGCTACCTTTGGGGACCCTGGAAAATGTGGGACTCTCCCTGGCAGTTGGACCACTGAGCTGTGCCTGGCTCACAGGAAATGTGAATACCAATGGAAGACTCTGGAAAACAAGTCTGACAATGTGTATTCGTAGAGTAACTCAATCATTAGTTTTAATATGTGCAGCTAGGCTCAGCTGGCCGGTCTGAAGACTTCCAGGAGATAGCATTGTTCTTGTTCTACATTACCTGCTTCTATCAGAAGTTGTTCAGCATCAGGGCTTGCCTCGCCCAGAACCTCTGAGATGAGGGGATTCTAACGGGAGAGCATCTTTGCATCTCAGGGGCAAACCTGCGGAGTATCTCCCAGCTCATCAAATCCCAGTGGGAAGAACTGACCTCTGATTTCAGCCCAAAGAGACCACTCCCAAAGGGGCCTCCTTCTCCCACCCACCTAGCGTTCTCATCTCTGGCACGGGCACTGCCCTCTGCACAGCTCTTGGATGTGAAGAAGAAACTGGAGTGATTTTTCCTTTCTGTACTTGCCTTAGCATCCTGGCCCCTTCTCATCTACCTCCCAAGTTGGTCCAACTCAACCCCTTCCCCACCTCTTCTCTTGCTTCCTGGGTGGAAATCTGACCTGAATTCCCACACGGATTACAGCCTGCTCTGGTTTCAGAATTCCAGCATTTGTCAGAGTCATCCATCACATGCCTTTTCAGATCATTGTTTTCTCGTCCTTTCCATCACCTCATCAGTCTTACTCAGTTAGGCTGCTATAACAAAATACCTTAGACTGGGGAACCTATAAATAATAGAAATAGATTTTTCACATTTCTGGAGGTTGAGAAGTCCCAGATCAAAGTGCCAGCAGGTTTGGTGAGGGCTTTTTCTGCTTCAGAAATGGTGCCATCTTGCTGTGTCCACACTTGGTGAAAGCAGCCAATGGAGCCAGTGCATTCTTTTCAACCTCTTTTATAAGGTATTAGTCCTGTCCATGAAGGTAGAGCCCTATGATGCGATCGCCTCCCACAGGCCCCACCTCTTAATATGATCCTATTGGTGACTAAATTTCAATGTCTGAATTTTAGGGCTGGCGCTGCGGCTCACTAGGCTAATCCTCTGCCTTGCAGCACTGGCATACCAGGTTCTAGTCCCGGTCAGGGCACTGGATTCTGTCCCGGTTGCCCCTCTTCCAGGCCAGCTCTCTGCTGTGGCCAGGGAGTGCAGTGGAGGATGGCCCAAGTGCTTGGGTCCTGCACCCCATGGGAGACCAGGAGAAACACCTGGCTCCTGCCTTCGGATCAGCGCGATGCGCCGGCCGCAGCGCGCCGGCTGTGGCAGTCATTGGAGGGTGAACCAACAGCAAAAGGAAGACCTTTCTCTCTCTCTCTCACTGTCCACTCTGCTTGTCAAAAAAAAAAAAAAATGAATTTTAGGGACCATAGCATCTTCCCAGATTTTTAAAAAAATCAAAAAATCCATGGCTGCCAATGATATGTAACAGCAAATCTAAGCAACTCATCTTGCTGTTAAATTCCTAATGACACTTCCTTGATGTGGTGAGCTGAGATGTACCCAGATGGGAGCTGTCAGAATTTGCCTCCTTGTCCTGAACTTCAGCTTGGCTTCTAAGTAAAAGGCAGTGAGATTCCCGTAGTGGCTTGTGAGCTCAGCATCCCCCTAGCCTGCTCCCTTGGGCTCAGGTTGTTTCTTTGTCTAGAAAATGGCAGCAATGCCTGTCTCCCCAGGTGACTTGGTGCAGATTAACTGGGAAAACACAGCAGCATATCTGGGATAGCAAGTGCTCAATACATCCCAGTCAGTGTTCTGGCTTTGAACTAGGGATTGCAGGGGCAGCTCCAAGAGGCGTTGGGAAGATTCACTGAGCTTCCAGTTCTTCTCTGGAAGCAGACATCTTGGCACCTTGGTGACAGCTGTGACTTCAACGGTTTATGCAGAGAGTTCTCCGTGGGGAAGTCCTTCATCTACACAATAAGCATTTGGGCCTTAGGCTCTCAGCTCTTGAGAAGTTTAAGTCTACTTGCAGAGGAGGCTTAGCATTCACATGTGCAACATGAAGCTGTGACAATACACGATACATTTTCATAGGTTTCCTGCTAGGAGCAAGTATGACTCCATGTAAATATTTGCATGTTAATGGAAATTTAGATTATTGTTTCATCTTATTTTTGTTCTGTAACTCCATGGAAATCAGAACTATCCCCCCTGCCC